TGGCCAATGAGAGACGAGTATACTCGCCGAAAACCTAGCGCCCGGCTCACAAGATATGGGGCATTTAGACCAATGAAACGCTTACAAGTGGATCTCGAAGCCGGCGTATGCAGCTCTGATTGGCCTCATCCCCAGACACTGTCCGCATTACGCTAAACCGCTTTCATCTCGCCGACGAGCTCAATCAAAACCACCGGCTGCGCCTTGCTGGGGTACCGATGGACAGCCAGTTGTGGCCTCAGCAGTGAAATACCATCCATGACTCCGGCCTGGCTCACCCGCTTCCCTCTCGAACTTCTCTTTTCAATTCTTCAATACTGAAAAGCCAAATACGTCGATTAGCAGACTCGAGTGAAGCTACTCCGAAGCTGGAGAACTTCCCTTGATCCGTCTCTTATCCCGCAACTTTTCCCTCCAACAATACTCCATCAGCCAACTTTGGAATCCAAGTTGCTGACAAACTGCCTGCCTCTTGCAAGCTTCGTCCCCAAAGACAATTTCCCATCAAAATTCATCATCCGGTTAACACCAATTTCGTATTGGAAATCGCCTCGAAGAAGAGCTTCCTATCAAGGTGAGCTTTTATCTCTATCCGACAATAGTGTCCCGCCGCGATTCCCAAGGCAGCAAGTAGTTCCTCAGTAGGGGTCTGGGGATTTAGACACCTCACCAGCACGATGTATCTTGTATTACTCTCACATAAACGCCAACAACGTCCCTCTCCTCATCCTACCTCAATTCGGTTTACGCAAAGTCTAGGCAGCTTGATATATAATATGAGGCCGTTCAAACAGTCACTTACTTACACACACTCATTAGCAAACATTCAACAGACCTGGGAAACAATCCGGTCTTAGTTGCTACAGGGATCCGATCCCCCGTCACCATATCTTCTACATTCCGCCGCATACCTTCCGTAGCCAACACCATCAACGCAATGTCCGGCGTGATACGAAACCAGTCTACCGCCGCCTTCCAAGGCTTCTCCATCTCTCAGCCTTTCCTCGGCACGTCTTTGCAGTTCTACCCTGAGATGGGTACCCAAGAACTCGACAACCTTGTCAACGCCTACCTTCCCGGCTCTGCTTCCATCCAGGAGAAGCGCGCCACCATCTCCATGGACTTCTTTGCATTCTCCCAGCTCACCGGAGAGACCTTCAAGTATTACCCCGTTGTTAGCGAATCCAGCAGCTCCGCGACCTCCTCCGCCGGATCTAGCCCCATGCAAAACTCCAGCAGCAGCTCCAACTTCGTCTCCCCTGTCATCTCCAACTGGTCCTGGTCTCAGTCTACCCCTAGCTCGGCCTCTGCGTCTACTCCCATGTCCAGCAGCCAGGAATCCGTGTACTCTAAGTCATCCAAGAGGGCTGCATTTTCTGCGACAAAGCCCCTGGCCAATGACTTCTCCCACCTCCCTGGGATGAAGATCATGACGAAGGATGGTCGCGATGTCACAAACTCTGCTTCCCGCGGCTGCAAAACCAAGGAGCAGCGTGACCATGCGCATCTGATGCGCATCATCAAGGCATGCGACGCCTGCAAGAAGAAGAAGGTCAAGTGCGATCCCAGCCATAAGAAGCGTGCCGCCACACAAGCTCAGGGAGCCACTGCCGCGCCAGCGCGGTTGGCGAAGAAGGCCAAGACGTCGAAGAGGGATTCGCCCGTGGCCACAGAAAGTCCACCACAAGCAAGCACATCGTTCTCAACACCCGCGTTATTTACAGAGTCCTCGTTCGCGGACCTCGATATGCTCAACGTGGCAGATTCTTGGGAGTCCTTCGTACAGTTCGACGACGAGCCCGCAAATGTCACTCCTTTCGAGTACGACTTCTTCTTCGACCCCGCGGGACATCTCACTCCCGAGTCAAGCCAGTCTCCCATTACTCCCTCGATGGTATTCAGCCAGTCCCGGGATGGCTCCGATGGCATTCAAAATGTTGCCAGCAAGCCATTCCCCGACGAGCTCGATGTCCGGCCACCGGCGCTCCCTTACCTGGACTCCTCCCCGCGTATCAGCAACTACGTCGACTTCAATCTCTACTCGCCCGAGCCAAGCTTCTTGGATGACGATGTTGCGCTGCTCAGTGACATTGGCACTGCTACCAGGGCCCAGAGCACAAACTCTCAGCGCCGTGGCTCGCCTCAAAGCAGCCAGGCGTCAGTTCAGCAACAAGTGTACCTCGATCGCTCTCCAACGGCGCCAGATGATTACTTGGCAGACAACAGCGGAGTATCGGTGAGCGGAACTGCACTGGGAGGACCCAGCATCGGAGATCGCCGTCACCGTCACCGTCAACGTCCATCGTCTGTGACAGTACGTGCTAGAGTACCGAGCGTTTCAATGGTTCGTATCATCCCTTGCACGGCACAAACCAAACTTATTCTAACGTTTAAACAGACCGAGTCTGAGTCTCAATCGAGCCTATCCGACGTCAATGCAACAGTACGCAGTGTACGCTCACAGCGACTTGCGACCTCAGCCCTGCAACCAAGCTCACCACAATTACTACCACTGCCACATGCCACGTCCCGCTCTGCTGTCGATCTCTCGGGAGTACATGCTGCTCCACTTGTCAGCGTACTACCCGGAGTAATCGGCCGTTTGCCAACGTCTGCTGTCGTCGCGTCTTCGCGCTCCTCGACCGTCGTCGAGGAGGCGTCTTATTACGCGCGTACCACGAGGACAAGCAATGGCGCCAATGGTAATGGAGCAGTTGCCAGCGGAGTGTCCAGCAGTATTTATTCGGATGCTCAGCTCCAGCTTGCCACGCCAAGGTCGTCAGAAAGTCGTCACACCTCCACACAAAGCGTCACCCAACCCTCTGCTGGCGTCTTTGTACTAAGCGGAGTACACGCTCTGACGGAGGCGGTTGTGGGTGGTAGCTTGACATGCAAGCGCCGCTCTCTCGTCGACTGGCTGTCCAAGTCGCAGTGCCTGATATACGCGGCACTCCTTGTGACGGTATTCGGCTTGGTTGCGCAAGCACTCGAGGCACAGGCGTTTGCCAGCCGACTCACTCAATTCGCTGTTGGCCTAGCGATATATAAGGTCTACCACTCTTACTCAAGTCTCCATGACTCGAGACCGGAACAGAGCCATCTTGGGACCGCCACGCCAAAGCCGCAGGGCTTGAGCGACGGCGCGAGGCTTCTCTCCTGTGTCAGCACGAGACTACGACGTACCTGTCGACAGAACCAATCCGCACAAGCCCCGGTCAACGGGGTGCGGATAAGGGTTCTGGGCCTCGCGCAAGGTTTCTTATGAGATCTTGTGTCGACCTGCGGCTTGGGCTCATGGCCCTGGCTTGTATGGATAGGATAGCTGTCGTGGTGTTTTCGTTGCTGTCTATTGGGAGCGTTGTTTTTCTGAGATACCCCTCTGTTTTTTGATGAGGCGTGCATTCTTTAAGAATGGGATGCATGTCAGCTATATCATCGGGCAAGGTCGTGTTCTGTTGTACAGGCTGGAACCAGTATGCTGGACACTGAGCAGTTGTGTATGAACTGCTGTAAAGTCTAGTTGAATTTGGTGGTAGCGTAGTGCGATATAATATAACTGCCTTGCTCACACTTCTGTGTCTTTACTCTCAACCAATGTGCACTCGTATGTGGACATGGCCATTCTGGTCGTCTAAAAGGTCTCACCAAAGATCTCGCACGTAAACTTCATCTTCAATCTCTACACAGAGAAGGTACCCTAGAAAGGGTGCACTCAAGTATTTCAAAGGAGCCAAGTGGCCAGTGCCACCGTTTGACAGCGGTGTCACGTGATACCGTGTGTTCCCACCTAATGCAAACTTCATCCATGACATTAGGGTAGATTGGTGCAAAGACTGATTCAACCTTGGTTCCTTAGAAGTTGGCTGAGGATACGTGACTAACAAGCTAGCCTTTTGCCATAGTGAGTAGCAAACCAGCCAAACAGGTTTACTTGTTTTAATTTCCTGGGACGACGTGTGCTGACCACAGCCAGACTGAGTCATCCTTGTTTGTTACTCTGCCACTTACTGAAGGTTCCAGTCAGGGCAACCTTTAAAAAAACAAGCACCCATTATCGTAAATGGTTGTCATTTCAGGCGCTCATCAAGGCTTTACTTCACGCCCAACTTCAGCAGGACAAGTATCGATAGACGGTCTTGCCCTGGACTGCTGCAACAGAGCCAGACAAGGAAACAGACAACTTCAGAACTCCTGTGACACTCGTTGAAAACTCGGTTCTTTGCTGTCTTGAAACTTTCCCAGTCAATTGTCAAACAAAGGGCCTTGACAAACCGGATTCTTGTTCGAGCAGAGAGAGCAGCGACAAAGAAATCTCTCGCGAAAGACGATATCTCTTCACATCTTACCTTACCCTACATTGCTTCGGGTGTATGTCTACCTGACCAGGTAGGCTGCAGTTTGGAACGACCTACCTGGGCCATTATCGAAATACGCCATATCCTGCGTCGTCCTAGAACCTCTCGATATCTTGCCACTTGCCGAGATTACCGTAGTTCAGCCCGTTACTACGGACTTGGTTGGACCCAGGCTATACACCGAGCAAATAGCCTCCGTTCTCACCTCTTCGGGAAGGCGACGATTGTCTGCATTTCTGAAGTCGCCAGGTGCTGTCTGCACTTTAGTGCCAGTCGCACTGGGTGGATTGAATTTGTGAAAGTACGTGAAAGTACTGTGGTAAGGTCGAAAGGCAGGCACCGAGTTGATTCCTTCCCAAACAGTTCACCATGAACGCTCCTGCCTCTTCAGATGCCCCTTCGGGTGGACCTGGGCCTGAGTCTGGGCCTGGAACCGGAACGCAGGACAAAGATAGAGGAAAGCGAGCTTCGACAAGCAAGTTCCTGCAAAACATATTTTGCCGCCTCAAAACCTCATTCATCCCCAACTCCAAGTCACCGTCATCCTCCTCACCCACCTCAGACCCCTCCTCTCAGCCATCAACAACAACCGCCCAAACACAGCCAAGCCGGGCAGGGCAAACATCAGTAGAAGAAGTCCCAGAGATGGCTGGCGTCTTTACTCAACACAGTCAGTCGACTGTGCCAGCACTGCCTCTACAATCCTCCAGCAAGGCTTCCATTCCCGCTTTGGAAGATGACAAGGAGAACCAGCCCAGTGCCCCTGTGGTCCCCGTACCAGCTGCGGCCCTGAGCCGTATGAGCCTTGAGTCTATCGGTCGGCCGCGATCATCAGCCTCCATTCCTCAGACCACCCTCACGCCTCTCAGCGAGAGACCTTTGCACCAGGCGCTCATGGACCAGGCATTGGATATGGTAAGCAGCTATAATGACCAGGACGCACCTTCATTGCAATGGAGTATCCCTAACCTCGTATCCAGGCTCGACTAGCACTGCGAACCAACGAGACACCCGTTGGTTGTGTCCTTGTCCACAACGGATCGGTCATTGCGAGAGGCATGAATGCCACGAACGTGACTCGGAACGGTACCCGCCATGCTGAGTTCATGGCATTGTCTGCACTGCTGTCCTACCGACCCAACAATAGTGAGGAGGCCGTCGATGCTCAGCTTCGCCAACAGGCCAGCGAACGTTCCAAAGTAGATGTTCCTGACGACGAATCGGACTTGTTCCCCGACGACGACGAGTATGTTAGGAAAGGTCACCTCTACCCTTACGGCCAGAAGCTTCATCTCGATCCTCGGGTCGACCGCTCTATCGTCCGGGGGTGCACTCTTTACGTCACAGTCGAGCCCTGCGTCATGTGCGCTGGTCTGCTTAGACAACTCGGTATCAAAAAGGTCTACTTTGGCGCTGTCAACGACAAGTTTGGCGGAACTGGTGGCGTGTTCAGCATCCACAAGAACTCTACAGACACCCGCCAAGACCCCAATCCGGTCACTGTTCTCAGGCCGCTCCAGATCAATGCCTCCAACGTTCCAAGACCGGTCAGCTCTGCATCTGCGAAGAGTTCCCTCAACAGTAATCGTCCCGCGAGCCGAGGTGGCGATGGCGGAAACGTTGAGCCAGGCTTCGAAGCAGAAGGCGGTTGGGGCCGCGACGAAGCAGTCGGTTTACTGCGGAGATTCTACGTGCAGGAGAATGGAAGAGGTAAGTCACTGCTAAGAAATGAACATCGGGAACCTGTAAGCTGATACCTTCTCTAGCACCAGTACCGCGCAAGAAGGAAGGCCGCGCTGCTAGACTGGCAGCCATGGAGCAGGCTGGAGGCGAAGGCGGAACACCTGTACCCTCCGAGGCTTTCGATGTCGCTGGCAACGGTCCTTCAACTGTCTCCAACCGCAGTGACGACACGGACGAGGCTTGAGTGTGCAGCTAGGCATTTTCAGCGAGCCGGACGTATCACATACCACGGGAACTGATCATTAGATGGGGTTATCAACACTGATGGGATGATCCACCATTTATCTTAGATTGGTTCTATTGTACTTTCAACGAAAGGCAATTAATAATAGACGAAACTGCATCATCATTCGGGTATTCCTATCCAATTCCCCAATGTGGTACTTAAATGACTGATATTCCACAAAACTCCTCGAGAACGACTTCTTTTACTCCGACTATGATGAGGACCTGTCACCGTGGGGGGTGATGGTCTCTCCAATCTCCTTGTCCTTTCCGGTAACAGAGCCACCCTGCTCGGAGCTGCTGGTCTTCTCCAGGGGCTGGGGATCGGAAGCGGCAGTCTGGCGGTGCTCGTCAGAGCGCCAGAAGTCCTTCTTTCCTTTGGCAAGGCGGCGGACCCAGGGAGGCAGGATGCCGCCAGGAATGCGCCAAGTCCAGGGGTCCTTCTCGCTCTTGTTGTGGGGAACGATGCGGCCGCCAGAGGCCTTCTCGATGACCCAGACAAGGCCGTTGATGAGGATGTAACTGCAGACACCACCGATGAGACCGTCGGCAATGGAGTAGGTGAAGGGCATAAGTGCGAGGGTGATAAAGGCGGGAACGGCATCACCCATATACCTCCAGTTAATCTCGGTGACGGCGCGGACCATCATAGATCCCACAAGTACCAACACGCAGCCGGTGGCCCACGAGGGGATGGAAGCGAAGATGGGAGCGAAGAAGATGGAGATGAAGAAGCAGATACCGGTGACCATGGCAGTCAGACCGGTCTTGCCTCCCTCGGAAATACCGGCACCGGACTCGACAAAGGCGGTAACGGGGGGAGTACCGAAGACGGCACCGACGGAGATGCTGAGGGCATCGACCATGTAGGCGACGGATGAGCCCTCGAAATCCTGGGTCTCCTCGTCGATGAGGTTGGCGAAGCGGGCCATGGAGTAGAGGGTACCGGTGCAGTCGAGAATGTCGACGTACAAGAAGGTGATGAGGGCGAGACCGAAGGCACCGCTGTATCCTCCGACATTCCACTCCTGGACGTTGAGGGTCCTCTGGATCGGGTGGAAGTCGACGACCTTCTTGAAGAAGTCAAAGTTGGAGTCGCCGATGGGGGTGTCAGGGAAGTAGGTGACGGAGGTGCCGCGGGGCCAGGAGATGATGCTGACGAGGATGATACCAGCCAGGATGGCGCCCTTGAAGCGGTACATCATGAGCAAGACGGTGAAGATACCACCGCAGAAGATACCGATCCACATGGTGGGGTTGCGCATCTTGGTCGAGGAGGGGCAGAGGCCGTCTACTTGCTCGCTCGCAATGCAGCCGGCCAACTCGAGGGGGGTGGAGGTGGCGCCGACAATCAGACCGATACCCTCGCTGTAGGTGAGACCGATGAGGGTGAGGAACAGACCGATACCGACACCGGTGGCGAGCTTGATGGAGCGCGGGATGGCGCGGGCGAGCCACTGGCGCAGACCGAGCAGGGCGAGGCCGAAGAAGATGAAGCCCTCGATGAAGATGGCGGTAAGGGCGACCTGGTAAGGGACGGCGCCGGTTCCGTGGTAACCGACGACGGAGTAGGCAAAGTAGGCGTTCAAGCCCATACCGGGAGCGCAGCCGACGGGCATGTTGGCGAGGAGGCCCATGAAGAAGGTGGCCAGGGAGGAGATGGCGGCGGTGGCGGTGACGATGTCGCGCTTGACCTCTGCTACGCAGAGCAAGTAGTCCTGGTCCTTGTCGCAGGTGAAGTCGTCGGCGGTGCGCGGGCAGACGCAGGTACCGCCGGAATCGGCGACAATGGAGGAGTTGACGGCGATGATGTAGGCCATGGCGAAGAAGGCGACGAGGCCGGCGCGCATCTCGGTGAAGAAGAGTGATCCGATACGCTCACGGGGCTTTTCACACATGTCATGTAAGCATTCTGTCACTCATCGTTGTAATACCTGTTGCCCTGCGCAATTTGCGCAGGAACGGGCGTGAGGCCATCTCGGAGGAATGGGAGACGGGTAGTTGGGAATTGGTGACTTACATGACCGGAGCCCTCGAGCTGGAACCACCGACCGACCGGGCCGGCGGCGATCTTGGCGTTCCATTTCTGGACGAACCCCATTTTTGCACGAAATTTTTCGTCCTTTCTTTGTTTTCTCCAGTTCCCTGATATTTCGAACGGTCGATATTGAATTTGGGAATAAGGTAGTCTTTACCAAAGATAAGAAATATAATCGGCAAGAGAAAAAAAAAAAAAAAAAAAAGTTGTCCCCGAGATCTGATCGATGTCTTGTCTGACAAGGCCCGAAGTGAGATTGCGGCGCGGGAACGATGTCGAAAGATCGAGCTTGCGAAGGAAAAGCAAGTTAAAGCAAGACAAGCCGAAGCCGGGCTTCTTAACTAGTTTTCTTGACAACTGCGAGGGAGCAGGGAGGGAAGAACCCAATGGGGATGAGATGAGATAGGAATCGGAAGAGGCCGGTGAGGCACCGATTAGAGGAAGCTGGCGGGAGGATGGGAGGCGAGCCTAAAGAGACAACATCGACAAACCCAAGAGGGCGGAACGGTGGATGGTTTTTATCAATGGCCAGGACTGGCACGGGCAAGAGTTCATAAACAGGATAGAGGCAACGGACCGCGCCCCCCCTCCTCCTTGTGGACGAACGACAACGGCCAGTCGCGTTATCAAAGAAAATCTCGAGCCATTACTTATTAGTATGATGGATTATCATTTGCTGGATCGTCGGAGGGGTGGGTGGGCAGCATGGCAAGGGCCCAGGCGTGGTGGATCAAAAAAAAAGCTGTGTCCATTGCACTTTGTCCGGATAGCTGAGGTTGCCAAGACCAAGATGGCAACTGGGAGCTGGGATGGGCATGGGAGAGAAAGAGAGTGAGATGGGAGATGGGAGATGGGAGATGAACCGGGGGGTGAATTTCTGGAGAGTTACCTTACTGTGAGTGTGTGGTATTGGTATCCATACGGAGGATAGAGTGAGTGAGGTATGCTTCGATGGACGAAGGCGAGGCCAAGCCAAGGGTCGCGGCACCCCCTTCTAGGGCCCAACTTCCGAGCCTCCCCAAGGACTAGCGCGACGCCCTTATCCTGGTCCCGATTTTTATTTCTCGCATGCAGTCGTAACAACTTCACCGAGTTCTTGTCTCAGTCGGTGCATACACGGACGGCGGGCATGGCGCGGCATGGCATGGCGGTACCGGCCTCGAAGCGCGCGAAGCCATGTGCCGAGACTTGAGGGGAGCTCAGCACGACTACCTAGACTGAGCCCTTTTTGGGCACAGCCTTCTTGCTGGCACCTGCTTGTCTGCTTTAGAATTGGTCAATGGGGAACCAAATACCTTACTGTGAGCTTCTCCATGTGGGTGTGGAACGTGGATCTGTGGATGCGCCGAGGAGATACATGTGTGTGTAGGTGGCATGGCGGCGGCGGCGGCGCGGCATGTCATCCAATGGCACAGGCAAAGGGCAAGATATCGGACCCGAGCGATAAAAGAAGTGACAGGCCAGAAGCAGCGTCCCAGCTATCTGGATTGTGAACGGGCTCGCCCCATTCCGAAGCCAACGCGCTATTCAAAGATACTGCAATTAAAGTTGGCCCAAAAAGCTCAGACACAAACGGTGACCATGTGGTACGTTGCGAGTTTCTAACCAGAGACGGCATCAGCTGTAAGAAACAGGCTACAGCAGAGGAGAGAAGCTTCGGACCGTCGGCGTGGTGGCTTCCCTGGCCGCGATGCTCTTTGCCAGGTCACATCAATAATGCGCTGTGTCAGACGCCATTGTAGACGCCATGCAAGGACAACAGCATTGGATATTGTAGGGACTGTGAGATGGCGCTTAAGCAAGATGTATGTAGGCCGGGGGGCCGACGGCAGCGTAAGGTAGTTACTATTGGTAGCTGAAGGCGAGGCGAGGCAAGCCAGCCAGTCCAGGCTGCAGATACTCCGTATTGCATGGGGACATGGAAGGCTGTTTCGAAGTTTTGATGGGTTCCATTTCGCAATCAGGTTGTATTCATCGTGTGTTCGAAGTTGTATCCGTAGTGGTTGTCCAGAGCGATATGCTGGGCCAACATGGTTCTTGATGCGCCAGTGACAAGCAGATGTGGAAAATCTTAGCACATATCAATCGAAGGCGGGGCCGAAAATGAGCGTCGCAACAAAAGTGCGTGCGTCTTGCCAGCTTGGTGCTTGGGTGTGGGAAGAGGGACGGGTCCACCTGCTGGGCGGCGGGCCTGCCCTACCTTTTTTCTTAAAGTGACCAGATCCCCAGAGAAGAGAGTTGCGCAACGCGACCGGTCCAATCAACTGACAAGAAAGGTCGGACAGGAACTGCGGTAAAAGAGCATAAAGAGACGGCAGTGGCGCACTACATCAGAAGAGGCTAAGGCAGTGTAAGTGTAAGTGTAAGTGGAAATGAATTGCGGATACGTTCCGCCTGCTTCAACAGGTGGAAACTGCGGAGCTAAGGCAAGGAACTGGGCACGCCGCACACATATCGTTGTCATTGTGTGAGCCTGGGCTTTTTGGGTCGGTGAGCCGCCCATCCTCACAGTAACTCCAGGATCAGTTGTGATACTCGTACCTACCCTACCTACGGGGCAGCATACCTTAATTAAGCACTTAAGGTACGTGTTCAAATATTGTGCGTGTACACCACAGCAAGTCGTGGCAAGTTGCAACATGGACGTCATGTCGCCGGGCACGTCGCCATGGCAGGATCAAACTCAATGGAACATGCTGCTGACTTGCGCCTTACCGATCCCTGCGAACTTGCCTCAGCTAGCTGGCTTAGGTCCCGACTGCATATCCGGGCAAGTGTGTTCCGGTGCTACTGCACCAAGGCAAGGGCGGAAGCCGCTCAACGTTACAGGTTCCTTTCTTATTCCATCTCAGCTAGCTGCCTTAGCACTTACACACATAAGGTACGGAGTACCTCAAGTTGCGAATACTCCGTGTTGCACACGTTGGCGGTTGCCCGAGAGGTATGTGTCTATGTATAGGTCTTTCCTGGGGTTTGCTCTTTCCCGCTGTCAATGCTGTCGTTCCTTCTCTTCCCGCTGTTCATTTCTTCTTCTCCTTCCTTCCTCTGGTCTCTCTGTCTTGTCAATGTGTGTAAGGAAATGGCGGGGTAGGGCGCCTCGATCACGCAGGACGTGCAGGCTCTTTCCCATTCTTTCCCCGGCAAGTACCGAGTGTCGTGGATCGGATATTCATACATGTTCTGTTCTGTTCTGCTCCTACCCCTGCTCCTGCTCCTGCTCCTGCTCCTGCTCCTGCCGCACAAGCTTGCCTTGAAGTCCATCTTCCCCGTGGCCATAGAGATACCTGCGCCGTATTACTGCAGCATGGTATATCTAAAGGTCTAGAAAGACGAAAAAGCTAAACAAGGTACGTTCTCCCACTCGATTCGACCAAACTGCCTAAACCGGCCCCCCGACTGTCAGCTTCGGAAGCGGGGCTCTTGCTGAATCCGAAGCCATTGGCCGTGGCGGTACCCCACCTCCGAAGCTAGTCCCTTCTCGGGGCGAGCGGCCGTGGCCGAGCGGGGCCGCATCTGCCATCTGCGATAAGGAAGCTGACCCTCCCTTTGTCAACTGCCTTCCAAGTTCCGTCGACCTTATCAGCCACTCATCAGGAAGCTAATTACCATCTTCAGACTCCATCTCGTTTGCAGGCACCTAAGTCCTCGTTTCCATTGCCTCGGTCGTATGGTTTTATGGACTGCAATTGTCGATGGTGCCTGCTGCGCATTGAAGGCACGTCTGGCACATACGCAACTTTACAGCCTGCATCCGCACCTTTGCTCAACTTCAATCACGGTTGACGAGATACCCATGTCACGATCGAAATCTGCCAAGCCAACTAACCCGCGTCCACCACATTGTCTCGAATGTCTCGCTTTTTGGCGCTTCCATTCCTTAGCCTCATGCCGAACCAAAGTTGCCTCGCGCAAGCTCAGCTTCAACTTTCAAGCCGTCTGTTGATCCTCGATCGGCCGCAACGCTCTTCATGGTAGTCAACTGCGCAACCGGCCGCCGCCCAGCTCGGACAGCGGCGCATTTGCCCACCACCACGAGGTTTATCAAGCCTGAGCTTCTAGCACCGTCGACCTAACGATTCTAGTTCGTACGGAGTACCTTACAATTCCACGGTCACCGGTCTGCTCCATCCATCGGTCAGATACGTTCACTTGGTCTGAGCAGACAGCCAATCTGGTGTCTCCTATTCGTCTGGGCGATAGGAATCCCCCGACTCTCTCCTGTCTGAGGTCTCCCCCGAGTCCCCCAGACCCCCGAGCTTTCCACTGATTATGACTCCCGTTGACATTGCCTTCCCCCAATCCGCTTTGGCCCACCCCCACGGATTCGAGACAGGGGAACAACGGGACTAGCGCACCACCGCCATCTGACAGACTTGACGAGAACCGCCCGGCCGGCATCCCCGCAAAAACGCCAAAGACTCCAAAGTCTCAAAGAGGACATTGTGGGATTTGTGGCTCGCATTTCTTCATCGTCAGTGCAGACCATCTCGGGATGGTTGAACTTAATGCCAACCTGTCTTACTTCATCGATACTTTTTTTTCCCTATAGAAAGACTAGCAATAGGGATTCATTGGCTACCAGTTTCTCTTTGTCTTTACGTGGCTGGCTGCCAGGCAGGAGGCTTTGGAAGCCGTGGCGGTAACCTTCAACCCAGCAAAGCCAATGGCAACATGTTACAGCTCTTGCTCGACAACGACTACCTGCACTTGATCTGATCATAACTGATCATATAGATCGCGCGTCTACTACTAGACCACTTGCGCCGTGTCGTACGAGTTCCGCTATCACAGCAATGATCAAGCTCGGAGGTCTGTCGTTCGTCTGATCTGGGGATCTTGGCTGAGCACAGATGCGGTGCCGTCTCGAGCTTGTGGTCACAAGCCTCGAATGGGAAGTTCATCTCAGCTCATTCAGGTGGGAGATGGTACCTCAAAGCACAGCTCAAGGGCAGCCTACTCCGCGGTGTGCCATCGCAGCACGGCCCTTGACCACACCAAAGAGAATTATCGTCGATAATTTTTACCAGAGAAAGTGACCATGCGAGGACGTTGTCCACGCCTGCAACCTCTTTTCTCTGAGTCGGTTCGCATGTTAGTCGGGCGATACCTGCGATCCATAATTCGGCATTAGCATAAGCCAAGCAGATGGGCGGATCGAAAAATAGACGTGTTGGTGTGTCTGAACGGACACCATGGAATTAACCTGGAACACGTCGCAAGTCGCAACCGGAAAGCTGGGCAGGGCAAAGCACGATGGGGCAAATGAATGGGCAAGCCGCAAGAGGCACACGACCCATGTCCCAAACGGGCCTCGCTACTTCTCCTTATCTGCCGGGCCCATTTTTCCCATGTAACGGAAATTGCTGAAGATACGGAGGGTCGGAGACCAACGCGCCAACGCAACTTCCCGCAATGGCTGCCAGGCTTGCATATGGAGTGGGTTTCTTCTTCTCAATCTCTAATTTCTATCTGCACCTACGATACGGTTCCCGGATACATTTCAATGACCACTGTCGAGCATCTTGCTTTGGCTACATTTCGTGCTCGTGACGACACGGGCAATCGAGAATGGAAGCACGAAGTTAGTACAAATGCCATGGTATTGCAAACCACCATTTCGGATCCGGGCGTATTACAGAAATTCTCGAATTCGGACTGTACCTTGTCTCCCTGACACACATAGGTTATTCATAGGTTATTAGTAGCCTTAAACACACGTCTTCCCACCACCACCACCACCATCCACTTCGTCCGACGCCTGCAATCCACTCAATAAGCTGTGGCGACTCACTCGGTTCCATGGCTCCGGGACGGCGGCGGCAATCACGGCAGCGGGGTTCCCAAGGCAATCCCGGAACGACGGCACAGCGGTACCCGTACTACCGTACTACGGGACGAATACAAGTTACCGATCACGGGAGAGGCCGAGTTCCTCTCTGCCCCTCCAGCATCCTCGCGACTCGCCGGGCGGGCGGACCTCGTCGAGTTATCTACGGTCGATCTGGGACTGTTGGTGAATAACGGCATGCCAAGTGGCACTCAAGCCCTCACTGGGTGATGCTTTCGAAGGAAACCGTCTTGTCACCCAGGCTTGCGACTAGTGCCGCTTGTTGAGGCAACCCATCGAATCGCCCACTTGTCAGAGAGCCAAGTGCGCGTGACCCCGGCCGCTTGGTATTCCGCCGCGTCGAGCCGATGCCAGCAGACCCATGCGAGGCCTCGCCAGGAACGCCAGCAATGTGCCAATTGCTTCCTCCTGGTTGGATAATTAAAGCATCGATGTTTGCGATTGACACGAGGCAACATCACACCCACCCTTTTGTCGGACGGCATCCGACCTCCGCAGTCCCCGGTAACAGCACCAGGACCGGTGCGGGGAAACGACAGAACTCAATCTTGTCCCTGACTCCCATCGACTACGAGCGAGATCATCGTGATTCTGAGCAGATAGGGTGACCGAGGTCGCGACTCATCAGTCGTTGGCCCTCCTTTCGCATGACACGAACGGAATTTGGTCCTCTCACAGAGGAGCACTCACGGACGGTCATTAGAGGCGGTCAAGCCGGTGAGCTTCCGGGGAGTGAGCGATATTGATGCCGTGCGCTCGATGGGTCACATCCAATTCGCATCGCGACGTCACCGATCCCTCGGTACCTGGGGGGAACCCAATCCCGCATCGACACGGAGACAGCAACAAGGACAGCGAGTATATCACGCACAGCAGACTCCTTTCCCCTTTTCGTGGGCTGGATCTCACCGCTGAACAGTACAGACGCCCACTTGTGGTTTGCGAGCGTATGGGCGACGGCGAGCAAGTCATGTACTGCAGCGCTAGCGCGTGGGCAACGAAGTGAACCACTCAACCTTCAACCGCCCTGCCGTGAGTCGATGTGACGATAGCTTAATCCAACGATGTGACGACGAGAGTGCCTACGAAGTACAGCCTATCTGCCGGAGAATATTGACGCCCTGCAGCGGCTCCTCGACGATCTCTGGGGATGCCGTGTCATGAGACGGATCATCTCGTCAATCTGCAGTCTGCTTCACCCCGAGCCGTCGGCTGTGTGCGCTAATTATCTACAGAAAAGTATTTTTTTTGATAGTCAAGGTGCAAATAGAGTGTTTGAAAAGATGGCGAGGCGAGCAGTAGCACCATGACGACAATATCCGTGCAAACCCGACGTCAGCCGGCAGGGTAATTGGTGGTAACGGCCGCTGGGACTGTCCTGGCCCCGGATCCCGCCCGGAAGGTAGTTAACAGCTGGTTCAGGGGAAGGATCCGCCATACAACGCGGGTTACTACTTCCATCGGCTTGTTCAGATGTCTTTGGCAAGTTTGACTTTGACAGCAGTAGTAGAGTTGTGAACCGGCTGCTGGTAAGGTATGTGAAGGCTTTCTTGAAGTGAAGATCAAGGTATCGCAAGAGGTCGCCTTCGGCAGCGCAACGCGTGTTGAGGAGCCACTCTCGCCTGACGATGCGGGCGACGTGCGTGCATCATCGGGCAAGCAGGTGTTGGTGACACCAGTTTCAGTGCCGGAGTGGTAAGCTGGGGTTGGGCATGCCGGCCAATTGGGATTGGCGGTGTAACTGAGGGAGGAATGGCTTGGAAGATTCAAGACGTTCCGGATGATTACGGACAACGGCGAGCTGGCCAGCGGCATGGCAATGTCATACTGCGCACCTGCGGTAGAAGCAGTGGGGTCATGTCGTGAGGGTATGATGCACCTCATGCAACGTGGATTGCGAATCAGCTCCCGCGATGCAGCACTGCCGGCTGCGCTGCTGGTGATGATGGTGATGATGGTGATGATGGTGATGATGGTGATGATGGTTCTACAGACAATGCAGTGTGACAGAGAGCCCAGTCCAGTTCTGGCAGGGTAAATCATAGGGACGGATGGGATGGGAGAAGGCACTCGGTAGAATAAGGCGAGGGTAACGAAGGCCGGGGATTCGTTAGCAAGAGGTGGAGTCGGTGGGAAACGATGCGGGTTGTTGGAGTCGTAGCTGCAGGTTTACCTCATCTGACGTCACTGGGGGAAGCAGCGGGCTGGACCCTGCATATCGCCTCAAGTTGTGAAGCGAGAAGAACAAGGCGTGTCATTGGCTGCTTGGATTGAATCTCCACTACAAGTACAACGCTTCCTTGGATCTTTTGGATCTTTTGGACCTTTAGGGGACTAGCACCGCCGGCAGCGCTCTTTCCCGCCGAGGTGCGCTCTAAACTGCAGTTGCCCCCCTCCCGACCTCGCCTGGGGGTAGATGTGCCTGCCCGGTGCAGTCTGCTTCGCATTCCGGACCGGGTGAATTCTTCAACACAAGACATGGTCCCCCTTCTCTTGCTTAGCACCATTTTCCCATGCCTCACAGCCCTCAGCTACGGTACCTTACCTTACGGATATTCTGCCCGTACTAAGGTAAGGGAAGTTACTTTCATCGTATTACTCCGTACCCGTATAATACCAAGACAATGGATAATTCCCGCGACGCTGTGCCAGGCGGCGCAGGCCCGTTCAACGGTCGGCTAACAAACATAGCGATGGCACCCTGTCCTGTTCAGCCCAGGGCAGGGTTTCACTGCATCGTACCGGAGTATTCATTGTCATTTCCTGCAACAAGGGCAATGTTGGTTCGCCGTTTGGATCGTTGGTCATGAACCGCCGCCAAACCGCCATTCCCATGCTTCAAACGTTCTTTCTCCTCATGCGCTGCGCGCTCTTTTCCCCACGTTGACTTACTCGGGCAGTTCGTGCCACGTACCTTACCTTACCTCATCTCAACTGTCCACTCTTTCGAGTCCTCGCGTGCTCCTGACCTTCTCTTTTCCTAGTGGCCGGGACGGACGCTGGCAACTGGCACCTCCCAGTGAGGCGAAAGAGGCCCCCCCTCCTCCCGTATCCCGTTCCAACTTCCATTCTCTTCCTGCCTCTCCAGTGGACGATGCACGCGACTGGACCGGACCCAACTTCAGCGCCAGCAATAGCCCCCCCGCAAAACACCAGCGGTCAGCCGATCCTCTCTGGCGTGTGACGCTATCCCAATCCCCCCCCGCCCCGTCGTCCTCCAGACACAGACACGGACTCCCTCCCACCTGTCTGTCTCCCTCGAGTCTCGTCTCATCTCGGGCCTGTCTGTGGCCTGCAGCTTGCCCCCTTCGTTGTCGTTCGTTCCTTTCGTCTATCGTCTTTCATCACGCTTGCTTTGCTTGTCTTTGCTTCTAGTACTCCGTACTCCTATACTAACGTGGGTATGCTAGGTACATAGCCTACCCACCCACTTTGACACCCACATCATCCTCCCACCCCGCCCTATGCCTCGACCCATCATGGCCACCTTTGTGACTATACCATTATATACACCATCCGACCTCCCCCTTCCTCTTCCCTCCCCCTCGACACTGCTTTCACACTTACTCTTGACATATGGCTCATTGCCGGCTTTGATATCTACCCACCTCGCCACATTCTCCTAGTATACTCCGTACTAGCACACGTCTCCCGCCACACCTCTACATCCTCTCAAATCCTCGCACATCTTCTGCCCTTTCCGGCCTCCCACGCGACGATCTCGAACAATAATGGGACGCTCTCATCGTAGAGGCCCTGACTACGACCTGGACCCTTACGAGTCTTATGGTCGCCCTTACGACACTGCTGCCGACCCTTACGCCCAATATCCATCTCGTGGACGCAGTCCTGGCCCTCGCCGCCGCAACAAATCAGATCCTGCCGCCCCTCCAGCTGCCTACGACAACTATCAACGCGAGCCAGAGCCCAGGGAACAACCGCGGGAACACCGTGAGAGCCGCAAGTCCCGCAGGGACGCCGTTCCGGAATCCTACGCTCCCCAGCCAGAGCAGAGGGAAGATCGCAAGAGTCGCAAGAGCCGCTACTACGACGAAGACGCCTATCAACCCACGGCACGGGCACGGAGTCACGGCCGCTCCGCCCGGGAAGCCCCCGCCACCGCTCACCACCGTGCCGACGACGACGCCTTCGACGCATATGCACCCGCTTCTCGCCGCGGCCGGGAGCGTCAACATGCCTATCACCCGCCCCGGACAAGCGATACGAGGCGCTCCAAGTACGCTGACTTTGACGCCGAGCCTCGTTACCCTGACAGACGCTCCCGTTATGCCGACTACGACGATGTCGATCCCTATAATACCGAATCGCGCCGTTCCAAGAATGATGCACCACGCGAGAGTGACAGGCGGCGTTCGCGCTACGCTGACTACGAGGGCGTCCCCCGTGGCGGTAGCGAATCAAATCGCGGTCGGCATGTAGATTACGAGGCTGATCCCCGTTCCAATCCGAGGGGATATGCCAGCCAGAGCCAGGGTGGCCGCGGTCGCTACATGAATGACTCGCCCGAGCGGTACGGCCAACCAGGCGGCGATCAGCAGCAACGCTCTGCCAGAGGACGGTCCATGCCCAGAAAAGGTGCAGCAGGTGGTGCCTCTGGTGCAGCTCGGCCTCGAGCTAAATCAGCCGTTGGCTACGCTGCACTGGGTGAAGCCGCCCAGACAGCCTTTAGAGTTGGAAGTCAGGCAGCTCTCCAGATGAAGAGTGAGCCCGGCCCGTGGATAGGCGAGAAAGGTACGCGGGTGGCCACGGCTGCTCTGGGCGCCGCCCTCGTCGACACATTTGTCGGTCACAAGGCCACCGGTATGAAGGGCGGCATGCGCCATCAAGCTTTGCGTCAAGCATGTGAGATGGGTATTCGCAACTTTGTCGTCCAACCTACCGTGAACACGGCGACCCGACGCAGCGGCAGTTGGGGCGGCCAAGGCACTGGTGGCGGAGGAGGTCAGAGCAGCAGTGGGAGAAGACGACACTGATCCAGTTGGATTTGTGCGATGTGTTGTCCATCCTACATGAGACGCTACTACGTAGTTGGGGATACACCCCGTCTACATCTCCCCTCTACATCAATTCCTCAACATACCAAATCATCCTGTACTCTCTTTCATATGGCTAGTTTCTGGGTATTTGGGGGGCGTTATTAGATAAAGTGCCATCGAGACGGCAGGAAACTTTTTGAAATTTTAGAAGCAGCATAGCAGCGTGTTAACGGTAGACGAGTAACGAGTCACAATGAATCAAATGACAATGAACACAAAGTTACCTCTCGTAGTACATACGCTGATAACGAAGTCTTGATGGTGGCAGGTTTATTTCTTTTTGAGATATACCACGGATGCTACGAAACGCTTACCCGTTACGGATATCTATTCCTTCACCCTCGATGTATACCAGCACATACTATCCTTTCAGTTCATCCTGTGATTGGATCCTGTGATCGTGCTAAATTTCTACGTTAGGATAGAATACTTCACGTGGTAAGACTCAAAGCGATGCAAGGTGGCATGCCGCTTCGGCGCTCAAAATGATTGGAAAGAAGGCGAAACGCGAAGTGACGAGATGACGTTGCATTCAAGTATGGCGGCGGTTCTCTCGTTCACCTGGATGCAAACCCTAGGACATCGCAATACAGCAAGTGGTGAGATGTGAATAAGTTTTGTGATACTTTGCCACCACGCAGGATTATCATTCCCTAATATCAGATAGATGAGATAGATGGTATTAAATCAAGAATTAGAGTACTAAATTTCGGCTAGTTACTTGAAGCTTTGGCTTGAACAACAAGCAGATCTGCCTTTACGCCAACTGTCATCAAAACACCTGCAGCCAGACCCAGGCAGTCCTTGATATCTTCAGATACCTTGACAGACGCCTTGCCTTGACTCGCCTTCACAGCGCTCCTGCGACCAAGAACGACCAGGTTGTGCCATGTGACTTCTCGCGTATCTGTCCTGACGCCTGATTCGGCATAGCTCGAAGCGGCCTCCAAGGTATTGGCAGAAGAGGAAGTCTCAAACTTGATTCGTGAGGCCACATTGGCAGGTACGTGTGTTGACACGAAGCCAAAGTAGTCACCCTCCTGAGACTGGGAGTCGCCTTCGGCCGTCCCAGTGAAGTGCACCACAGTCGCTTGTGCGTTGTGCCTCTCGCACAGCTGAAGCACAAGCTTGAGGGCAAGCTTGTCATCATTGCCGCCAAAGTATGGCATGAAGATCTGGTGAGACTTGTTTGTGACGGGAATCGTTGGGATATCGTGATGGATGTCGCTGAACGAGTATGCTCGCGAAAGCCTTTTACGATCGCTGCTACCGTCCGAGCTAGGTTGGGTGACACTGCCCTTGGGGAAGAAAATGCCAATGTTGTGTTCCGGGGAGTCGAGGATTGACTTGGCGAAACCGGTATATGTTGATCCAAGCTTGTTGGAGCCGTCTGCCGACAGGACTTGCGTGTCGACTAGGCTACCACTTTCGCTCCAGGGGACGAGAAGAAGGTCGGAGGAGATATCCGAAGACTTGGAAAGCAGAGCCTCGGCAAAGCGAGTCTCTGGCATAATCGACACCTCCCCAGAAACGGCAACCCTGATCAATTGTCCTACAGTACGGAAAATGTTCACAACAGGGTCATTGTGACTGAAATCGTCGACCTGAGACACAGTCATGACGGAAGAATCACGATCCGTAAGATGAAGTAGGCGGAAACCGTGAGCCCGCACAGCCCTGATACCGTTGGAAGAACTCAGAGCCACGGTATCCGACTTGATACCGCCCTTCTCATCGCTTTCGACAAACTGGTCTCCTGAGCCAGACTGCTTTCCAAATAGGGAGACCAAGTTGAGTAGGGCAGGCATGTTGTCCAGTCGAAGGTACACCAACAGGCGCTGGACACGATCGTTAGTGGGCTTAGTGAATTCATGGTCGTCGGTCGATCCGCCGTGACTCGAGATGGGTTCACCAGTGTCCCAGTCAATCTCACCACGCTTCCAAGCCTCGAGCTTCTTCTGGTACCAGCGAGGGTACAGGAAGGAGGTCAGAGGAGTAGTTGCGAATGTGGTCAGGAGAGCCATGACAACGAAAATGGTGAATGTCCTGGTGCTCAAGATCCTAGCCTGGAGACCGATGTTCTGTGTTTCAATCAGCTTCCGTCTCCATTTCCATGTCGTCTTTGAGCTGTGCTCGAACAAGAGCCACTTACGAGGACGATCAACTCGACGAGACCTTTGCAACTCATCAGAGCTCCAATAGAGAAAGACTCTCTCCAGACCAATCCGTTCAACCGAG